GTACTTGATGTGGGTCCTCAGACAAGCAACCTCACCTTTGAGCGGGGACTCTCCACTTCCTCTCCGGGGGATCCTTCTGCGGGGCTTCCAGCGCGGTCCCTAGCATGTCAGAAGTCTGCTCGTTGTATTTGTCGCTGTGGTTTGCTTTTTGCGAGCCCATCGTGTGTGCCTCTGAGGACGCTGCCTGCTTGTCAGGTGGGGAAGCAGAGTGCCCAGGGACTCAGCGTTGTGGCCAGTTCTGATCCTGCCTCTGCCGCCCCCGGCTGTGGGCCTTTTTTCCTGTCTGGGCCTCCGTTTGCTCGTCTGCTAAATGAGGATGGAACAGTTGTCCCTCCTTACAGGCTTGTTGGCTGGATTCACTGAGATCAGGGCCAGGCGAGTAGAAGGGGCCCAGTCCCCGACTTTATGACAAAGGCTGGTAAAGCACGTAGTGTGTGAGTCCCTGTGTTTTGAGACCACCTAAACTGACAGGAAGTGGCCAGACTTTCCAGTTCTGTATGTTTGTTCAGCAGGCCTTTCGAAGCCAGGCCGACTGACATTCCAGTCCTGGCTCTGCCCAGCCTGTTCCCTCCGAGCTCAGTGTTCTCATTTCCAATCAAGGACGGCAGCAGTACCTGCCCTTGGGTTTACCCTGCCCTTGGACTGGGATGTTGGAAGCACCTGCCCCGGGCAGGCAACCCAGCCCGCCCTCAAGTTCAGCATTCTCTCCGCGTGCTCATGCCTTCCCCCGGGTCGCCTCCCTTTCTGTGCAGGGAGCGGGAACGCAGAGAGAAGGAGAGGGAAGAATGGGAACGTCAGTACAGCCGGCAGAGCCGCTCACCCTCCCCCCGCTACAGTGAGTATCCCCACGGCCGCCGCTGGATGCCGCGTCGAGGTCCAGCCCTGGAGCCCCGTCCCTGGGCGTGTGTGTGCTTTGTTCTCTTTTCTCTCCAGGTCGAGAATACAGCTCTTCCCGAAGGTAAGCAAGCCAGCCCCGCTCCCTGGAACATGACGTCCCCGCCTCGATTCTCCATTCCCTCTCTGTACCCCTCTGCGTGTGGAGGCTGGCCTGGTCCCGTTAGCGTCCCTCCCTCCGCAGCTCGCTCCCGGTCACGGGTGCGTGTGCATGCAGTGTGGCTGCTTCACCCAGCCCTCACGGGGTCCCTCCTTTCTCTCTCCAGGCGCTCAAGGTCGCGATCTCGAAGTCCCCATTACCGACATTAGGCAGAAGTGTGGGGGGCTGGGGGGTGGGGTGAGGGCTCAGGCTGTGATGCTGCTGGTTTTATCTCTAATGAAATAAAATCACTCGCTATTTAATTCCCTTTACCCGGCCTCGGTGTCATCTGTGTGGTCAGTGTCCAGCCACCAGGGATAGCTGGGGAGGAAGCTGATTGGGTCTGGGGACAGGAGCCAACGCTAGGAGCCCACGTGGCAAGTCCTGCCCACACCTGGGTGTCTAGGTGGCGGCTCCTTGTCCATCAGAAGTGCTTCTGCTGCAGTCCATGAGGGCTGGGGCACGATCAGTGGGGATCTGTGGGGAAGGGCCTGGACCGGGCATGTGGAGGACGGGCCAGGACTTTGCCCAGGGGCCCCTGGTGACAGGTCCGGGCTTCTCCCCACCCTCGTCTCGGCCCCTGCCCTGGCCTCGCCCACACTGGGAACCGGGAGCACGGCTTTCTGTGCCAGTCTTGCCGTGCCTGGGGCACTGGGGGCTGGCCTTTCCCCTCACCCCCTCACTGCAAACCGGTCTGTCCAGCCGTCCACCCTAAAGAGGGAAGCCTCCCGCCCCACCTCAGACACCCCAAGAAAGCCAGAGTCCAAACGTGTGTGTTCTAGGCGGGAGGTTTACTCGCAGCAGAGCCAAGGCCAAGGTCGACAAGCACAGTAACGGTGGTACCAGGGACCGCAGAGAGGGCGTTCCCGCGCCTCAGGCGTCCCCGGCCACCTCGGGGTGCTTCTGCCGCAGGTGTTTGTCCAGGGTGGCACGCAGGCCGAAGGGCACACAGCAGTGGGGACATTCGAAGCGGGTGCTGCCCGGCCCCAGGCCGTGCATGCGGCGGTGGCGGTTGAGCTTGCTGCTCTGGGCACAGGCGTAGGGACAGAGCTCGCAGGTGTAGGGCCGCTCGCCCGTGTGTGAGCGCCGGTGCACCGTCAGGTTGCTGCTGTTGGTGAAGTGCTTTCCACAGAACTCACAGCTGCCCCCGGGCCCACGGCTCTTGACCGCCGGCTTTGGCAGCTTCTTGGGGGACGTCGGGCCCTTCGCAGGTTCAGTTCTCTGTTCCTTGGTGGTAGCTTCCCAACTGGCCTCGCCGGGGCCCACCTGTGCCCCACCACCAGGAGCCCCGGGTTCCTGGACCCCCGCCGTGGCGGCCGCTCCGGCGCTCTCACCGCTGCTGCGCAGGAGGGTGCTGGCCGGGGCCGCGGCGTGGGCCGCTGGCTCAGGAGGGGCAGCGGCAGAGGCCTGTTCTGGGCTGGCTTTGGCCTTGAAGGGGCTCTGAGGCCGTGGCTGCCGGTGGGTCTTCTTGTGGCGGTTGAGCTTGCTACTCTGGGTACAGGTGTAGGGACACTGGTCACAGGCATAGGGCCGCTCGCCTGTGTGCGAGCGCATGTGCACTTTGAGATTGCTGAAGGAGCTGAGGGTCTTCGCGCACACGGGGCAGGTGGGGCTCCGCCGCGGGGGGATGCTCACCCGGGGGCCCTTGGCCTCCGCTTCCGGCTCCACCACTGCCGACACGGCGGCGGCCACCTCTGCCAGGCCCAGCAGCGGGGCCTCTGGGGCCTCGGGTTCCGTCTGGTAGATGGACAGTCCGTGGTCCCACTGGGCATGGCGCAGCAGTTTCCAGGCCCCTGAGAACTGTCTCCCGCAGCGGAAGCAGCCCAGGGCCTTGGGGTCGTGGCGTTCTGCAACGAGAAGGGCCCGGCGTTAGATGGGGAAAAGCAACAGTTGCGACTCACGCCTGCCAGGCGGACACCTTCTGCGGGAAAGGCTCCACTCCGGGGGCTGAGAAGGCCCAGTAAGGAAGGCAGGCGAGACCCCCCGTCCTCCAGAAGCTGATGCTCAGAAGCGGGCGGGCAGGCAAGTAAGGAAAACCTGCGGAGTGGATGGTGCATACCTGAGGATTTTCTGTGTTTGCAAGTCTTCACCAGAAGTGAAAGCAGGGTGAGGGATGGGGTGGGGAGGGCCGTTTTATAGGAGGGG